GGGAGGCCAACCCATTCGGCGACCACTACTTTCTAGGCCACAGGAGCGGCCAGCTAAGTATGAGACACAACAGCATGCGCAACCTTTTCTGCCGCATCCTGGCTGAGGCGGATGTCGCTGCACACATGGAGGTCTACCTCCAGAATCTCGACGTCACCCCACCAGACAACGACCCCAACAGCCAGCGTATAGACATCTACTGGGTAGTCGAAGGCCAGGGATCCGTTCTGGACTTCACCATCACCCACCCCTGCCCACCGGACGCCTCCCCCATCCGCTCTCACAGAGACGTGAACCGGCGCAATGCTCAGCTTTCGGGTGGGAAGGCAGCCGCCCTTGCCGAGAAAGCCAAGACCGACAAGTACGGCCCCACTGTCCAAGCCAGAGGCTTCCGTTCTGTCGTCCTTGCCGCAGATACATTCAGCCGCTGGGCGCCCGCGGTGCTTGCCTTCCTCAAGACGCTCGCCAACAGGAGACCACGCACTTCGGCCATCCCAGCATCCGAAGATGTATCCTTCCGAGATAGGGTCATCAATCATTGGAGCCAGCTCCTGTCCATGGAGCTGATGAAGTACAGTGCATTCCGGGTGGCCAACCGCGCGCAAAGGGCCGCAGCCGCGAGGGGACCTGCAAGGGCCAGTGCCTTTGCGGAGGACTTCATCAGCCGAGGCCCTTACAGGCCTCACACGAGGCCCCTCTTTCGTGCATGAATATGTCTGGCACTGCATGTGCATGCAGTTGCATGGACCGTGACTTTTGTGTGTGTCTGCTTTGCATGGTTGCTTCCCTGTTATGCGCTTCCTGTGAGTATACACCTGCTGCTGCATGTCCTTGTGTGAAACTCAAGACGATCACTCGGTTCCCCTCATTTACCGAAAGATCTCATGAAGGTCGAGTGTCTGTCAGTTATTGCATGAAATGGCCTGGTAGTATGCAGGAGTTCTTTGTGTCTCGCCATAAATCACATGAATTGCTCAGTGTTGCATCACTTTTGCGTGAAATGCAATATGTGGAAGCCGGGGAGCCATCAAGTTGACTTGAGTTGATGGCGACACTAATGGATGTCTGATGGGCTTCTTCTTTTCACACACTCCATGTCTCTGTGCGCACACCTGCGCACGCACGCGTGGACTTGGAGTATGTGTATATACTGAATGCCTCTGTGCGCACACCTGCGCACACCTGAATGTCTCTGTGCGCACACCTGCGCACGCACGTGTGGACTTGGAGTATGTGTATATACTGAATGTCTCTATTCGCACACCTGCGCATACACGCGTCGACCTGGAGGGGATGTATGTACGTCTCTGTGCACACACCTGCGCACACACGCGTCGAGCTGAAGGGATGTATATAGTGAACGTCTCTGTGCGCACACCTGCGTCGAGCTGGAGGGGGTATATATAGTGAACGTCTCTTTGATAAGGCAGGGAACTGCCGTTGTCAAACTCGCAGACGACCGGCAAAAGCAAACAACACGCCTGAGAACATTGCATGCACAGCCAGTCAGACAGACAGACAGCATGTGAGTGTGCTAGGTGGTCTGTGTCGGTTTTAATATGCACCACAGAGTGTTGCAGGCAGCACCCGAACGAAAAAGCGACGAAATAGACGAGTGCGAAAAACAACCTGTCACAGCCACCACACCAACAGTACACCGACAGCACATACGTATGTCCACCCGTTTCCATCCCTACATCCCTTCACGTGTTCCACATGCATGCATACCAGAAAGGCAGATTGGCGACTCAGGTGCGAATGAAACCGATAGCTGTGCCCATGAGAGTGTTGTACAGCAGCGAGGGGGCAAAAAACAAAGGAGAACAGAAGACACGATCGACAGGACGATCATGAGCATGCAGCCAAAACGTCAGGCCCGGTTGTATTGTATATGATTGTGAGGAGCATGGAATGGACTGCTGAAGAGCCGGCGTCAGAGGTGTCTGGTTAGAAATGGTTTTCAAGCTTTAAGCAAACACACCAGCACCACTACGAAAACGTCAGTTTGGCTGACATTGCATGGCGATCCATCAAACTGACATGAGGGCGGCCATCGATAACTAACGAATAGCCTGATACTGACAGTCAGACACACAAAACCCCGACAAAATTGAGCATTATAGGACGACTGTCTTCGCCTGTCCCTCTCCCTTTCATCCACATAATACTGACCCCACTCATGCTCATGCACCAGTCAGTGAGCGACAAATGCTCTCACCAAAAATAGCAGAAAAGCAGATAGCAGGCAGAGAGACACTCTAAAAGGCAAAAGCAGGCAGACAAACTGTATGCAACCATAATCATGCATCAATCATTCGACTACAAAAAGCCAAACTACCGACTGCCACACTGCTGACGAATGAGTGCAGTGTGCGCCACCGCGAAGCTAGACTGTTCGCCTGTCCCCTCTCCTTTCCGTCCACACACAGACTGACAAATCAGACTCCACTCAGTCGCTCGCTCGCTCCCCGAAGCTCACCACCAGTCAGTGAGCACTAAAAACAGCACAGACACGAGGGAAGAAGGCAGACAGGCATCGCATCGTGCTTTCCGTCCTCTCACTGGCTCTCTGTGAGGCAGAAACATGAGACGTGCGTATGACACTGCCTCCCCCACTCAACCACTCATCTCACGCCATTGCTTTCGCCAACTCACGTACTTCTGCCCCTCTTGTTCTCACCGCCACGCTCTCCCCCTCGTCCAATCCTGTCGCCTACCGATGTCACCCAAGCATCCAAAGCTTGGGGCACCTACAAGGGTAAGCTTACAGGCTGACCAACACCAAAAAAGCCCTCAGGTCCCTGAAAAAAGATCGACTACAGGAAGAGGCAAATAGGCGTTCATTCATGGTAGAAAAGAGTAGGATCAGTAAGCGTCGGATAAGAAAGTCCTGAATACAGCATGCTGACCACTGCTGACCGCCGTGGTCATACTCATGCGCTCATCGTTTAGAGACTTACTCACTGGCCAAAAAGACCCCGACACACCTCAAAGGGAAGCGAGTGAGGCAGTTACACACAAAAAAACACATATCTCACCCAAAAAGTCAGGCGGTGGGTAGGATATGGATGTCCCTCTTGTGTGTCTCTGAGAAACCATCGATCCTCTCTCTGTCAAGCGAGAAGTGATCAATGCATACATGCTTTTTCCACCAGCATACACAAGTATGCACCATGACACACAAGTCATCATTGCCCGACCGCAAAAGCACACGCTTTTGCCCACATTGAAAGGACTCAAGAACGTACGCATGCAGGTATACAACGCAAGCAAGCAAAACCACGCATCGTCTGCCCCCCCTCCCTCCGACCATGGAAAGTAAGTACGCATTCCCTCCCACTACGCACACACGCTTAAAAAGCAAGCACGCATCTATACATCTACGCATCAGTCCCTCCTCACATACACAAGCAAGCATGCAAAGGCCGCACCTCTCCCTTATGCATCCTGTGTTGTTCTCGTCTGTTCCCCTCCCGCTATGCAAAGCAAGCATGCATCGTCTGCACACAAGCACAAGCACCCACGCATCGGTTGCGCCCAAATCGTTAGACCACAACTTTCTCGGCGTAAGAAATGCAAGCATGCATGGAAGTCAATGAGCAAGCATGCACGGTCAGCGATCATCCATAGCAGCTCCTCACAAACACAAATGACGTCAAAAAGAAGTGCATTCGACAGGGCATAGCCTTCGATCGCCCAGCAGAGCCAAGCAAACACCCCACACCTCACTTTCTTGCGCACTCAACCAACCAACTTCATCGCGTCACGCCACACTCGAGACAAAAAGACCAACCGAGAGGCACCCCTGAGCCTAGAGGGCCGCCCTTCTGAGGGGCCTCTCATAGTCGCCCGGGAAGTGATCAGACAAGCACGTGACGAACCCCAGGGCAATGCGCGTGAACAGGCGCAAAAACCTTCCCGCGAAGAAGCTGTAGGCCATCTTGTAGAGCGAGATGATGAACCACCAGTCCTCGTGGTTCTCGCGCTCAATGCAGATCTCCTCGGGATCGTCGACAATGCGCCCCGACACGCCCGTAATGAAGCGCTCACCGGCATGGTGACGGTAGCCGAAGCGGTAGGGGGGCACCTGGGGGACGATGTCGCCGCTGTTCACAAAGCGCAGACACTTCTTGCCGTAGTGACGATCGAAGAAGTCGCGGTAGCCTTCGTTACCGACGCGCGGCTGGGCGAATGTGAAGACGCCCTTCACGCGCCCTCGGAGCGCTTCGTCGAGTCCGTGAGCGTAGACCGACGTCAGCGCAGCCCCCATGCTGTGTCCAGTGATGAAGATGGACTTGTCGGACAGCCCTTGAAGCACTTGGTCGATGGCCTCACGGATCGACACATCGCCCGTGCGATCCGCCCTGTCCTTGAGTGCGCGATGGAACCCCCCGTGGACTCTGCGAGGGGGGTTGTCGAGGTCCTCCCAACCGAGGGTGAAGTCCGTGCGCCACTGGATGAGGCTCAGTGGCATAGTGCCTCTGAAGACCACGAGGACGCAGTGCTCATTGCTGATGACGAAGGCGCTGGTCTCGTAGCGATCCTCAAGACGACGGTCTCGACGCGGAGATTGGAAGCGTTCGTGCCATGTCCAGCCCCACCTCGCGACCACATCTCGAATGATGTCGGGGTGCTCGTAGGCGAGTTTGGCGCAGAGCATGGCGAAGTGGACGTTCCTCGGGCCGTCGAATCGGTCGGTAGGCTTGAAGAGTTTCGTGGGGTCATACCATGCGGTGGAGAAGTCGGGGTCGCTCACGTTGACGAGGGAGTAGGGGATGCAGTGGCCATCGAGACAGCAATACGGCTTGGCCAGGCGGAAGAAGACCAGAAATCTTCGCACGCACACCGCCAGGGGTACGGCGAAGTCGCTGAGGTGAAGGAAGCGCACGATGACGACGATGGTCTCAAAGACAATGCCGTACAGGTGGACGAGGAACTCTTCCACTGGGTCATGCGCTGGGCAAGTAGGGGAGGGCTGGGGAACGATGGGACCGTTCCGGCGGGCACATCGGAAGACCTGCCCACACACGCACCATGCCCAACCATCGGAAGAGCTCATATGTGCATCCCGTCAAATGTGACAAAACATACCTTCAAAAAGTTAAGGAGGACGTTGTCCGAGACGGACATGATGGGGGACAACACCAAGAAAGGTCGAGCGGCTGGACTTCGCACGCTGTGGTGTGAGGCAGGAGTCGGGAATGAGGACACCTGAAGAATTCATGACGCGACAGAGATGTCAGCAACCCATCGCTTCAAAAGACCTCTGGCACTCTGCTTCAGTCCTTCCTGCCATGCTCAGCCTCCGGTAGGCCTCATACCTGCAAGATCTCCACCTGACGCTTGAGATGATCGCCGGCTCCAATCTGCGAGTTCGATCTGAGCGAGGCGCCAGATTCCGCCGGTTCTGGCGACAGCTGAGCGAGACAATGACAGATGTGACCCAGAGAGAGAGGAGAGAGAACGAGATGCTTTTCCACGAGAGAGCGATCGCTCTCGTGACCGACCACCCATATGGCGCCATCACCAGCCAGACCAGCTTCAAGTTCACCCCCCTTGCCTGCGAGACGTTCGGCCGCTGGTCGCCGGCCACAGAGGCATTCCTCCACAAGCTGGCGGGCATCCCACTATAAAGACGACCCCAAGATGACGACCGGCCACATTGTGAACCGCTGGTGGTGCATGCTGTCCATCGCCCTCAAGCGGCACAACGCCCACATGCTCTTCGCCAAGACCAACCCCGACAAGAAGAGCGACAACACCCGCCCCCTCCCCGCTGACGAAGTCTGGGGCAGAGGCCTCTTCCACCCCCACTGAGCCACACATCATACAACCACCTTCCCAGATGATGTTTCAGCCTATTAGAAGGACGCCGCTGCCCGCTTCGGCCGTCCCAGCGCAGCTTCGGCCCTCGTCAGACGCCGACATGATTGTTTCATCGGTCTGTCTGACGGTCCCTCGCTCTCCCACTCGCTCTCCAGCACATCGTCCGAGGTCGGGGG